AAGATGATAGGGTGTAGTTAGGATCGTGCCAACTAGAATATAGTCCAACAGTGATTAAAATATATATTCATGATTAGAAAGTCAAAATTTCAAATCCTCATTCTAGTATTATTGTCGAACTCTAAAATATATATATAACATTAAGGTCATGATCTTTTCTTTTCTTTTTTTTTTCTTTTTTTAAAAAATACGTTTGAGAGCACTTCTTTGGTAAAAAATACATGATGAGAGATTTTTTTCAGGATATTCAGATGATTGAAATATATTATATTCTTAATTCATTGTTAAGAGTATGGACGTACGATAATTTCTACTTTGAGAAGATTATTGAAGATTATATTTTGCTTAAGAAGAAAAGAAAAAAGAAACCACCAAATCGAGAAGTGATTGGTAAAGGGAGAAGGGGGAGTGAAACAAAACACGTCAACAAAATTAAACAAATTATGTGAATAAAGTGAAAGAAGTTGGTTGTTTTGGAGAATCTTTGTTTTCTTTAAGAACAAAAAATAGAGAGAGGTTAAGGTTGGACAAAGAAGGGTTTGATAGTATTTGACCTCCATATGAAGTTATTTGACAAGGGATGATGTGAAGTTTTTCGTTGGAAAAATAGTAGGGGCTCGTTTTCTAACATTTTCGTTTCTTATTTCTGTTACTAGTTTTTGTTTATGTTCCTTATGTTTTTGTTTGCTCTTTTTTATAATAAAAATAAAACATGTTTATTAACAATTTCTGGTCGTTTCTCATTCTTTAAACGAAGAAAATTAGATTTTTATATAAAAATTACTTTTTAAAATCAAATATTCAAAATTTTATGGTATATTATTTTATTTTATTACTTACTACGCATTTTGTAAGTACAAAATGATAAAATAATGCTTTTATTTATGTTTAGGAAAAACTGGAAACAAGAAACAAGAAGATTGATTTTGTTGTTTCTAAAATTTCTATACAATTTTGTAAACGTTTCTTAAAATTGAAAAATGAGAAACATAAATAAACAAAAAACGATAACGTCACCAAACGAGTGGTAGATTTCTCCGGCCTATCCATCTATCTATCACAAAAATCTTGCATTTGACTCCAATTCCTTTTTCAAAATCTAATTTTGTTTATTGCAATTATTAAAATAATGAATAAATTAGCTTTGAGAAATGGTTCCCAAGATTTTGTTTTTTGCTTTTTTTTTGTTTGTTTTCTTTCGTGGGTCAGGTTAAGCAAAAGTTTGGAGGATTCTCTCCCATGGCATGTGCTAGAAATTGCTACCATAACTACACTACAATTATTCCTCCCTTTTTATTTATATATTCCTTAGGGTTTTCTTTTCTTTAGGTTTCTTCAAATAAACTCAAAATAACAGCTTGCTGTTAAACTTTCATACTTAACTAAACCTTAAGCTTAATTAACTTCACGTCAAAGCGATCATAGTTCAGCAGTAATTGACATATATCTTCAACCATGAGGTTGTGAGTTCGAGTCCCCTCCCCAACATGTTGTACTAAAAAAAAATTAACTTTATTGAAATTAATACCTATCAATTAGTTGAATTTCCATTTCCTTGAAGATTTGTGTATTTAATTAGCTATTAACGATAATTGTAACTAAATGAGACTTCTTTAATTTTTGTACATAGGTATTGGTTTTATGATAGTTGTTTGTTAGATGTGTTTTTAGTTAGGTTTATGCATTCTATTAATGTGAGTTTAGACCATTTTTTTAATTTAGTTTTGAGAAGATATTAATTTCTATCACTAAATTAAGATTTTTTGTAAGTACACAAATGGCGATGAGGAATTGAACTTTCGAATTTTATAAATGAATAAAATGTTTTAATAGGTGAGCTATGTCTTAGATTACATTAAATTATCAAATCTAATTAAAACGATCACGTTCCAAAAAATAAAAATAATTAAGGGATTAAAATGAACGTTTATTTGTATTATTTTTCGATATTGCTTGTAATATATTCATGTAATTTATTAAAAAATAAAAAACACAGTCTCTTTTTGTTCTTAGAAATTTCAAATATTTTCTATATAACAAGAGACAATTTTAGAATTATATTCTCTATATTTAAAATTCTAAAAGCATTTCTGAATGGAACCAGTAATTGGAAAACAAAAGAAAAAAGGATAAATACAATTATTTTTTGGTAAATAAATAAGAATCTAGTAATAAAAAAAATTAAAGTTAATGTAATTATTTTATATTAATAATTGTGAATTTTTTGTTTAAACAAAACAAAATAAAACTGTCCTCCATTGTTTATATAGGTGTCAATGGTACTGTCCTTTGCACAAAAATCTTGTCAAGAAAAAGGTAGTCATCTGAATTGAATTATCCATTTTCTTAGTCTAGATTATTAAAATAACAAATAATTGATTAGATGGGGGTATAAATGTAATTTTGTAGCACCAAAAAACCTAATGCCAATTTGTGGGCCATGGATTTGTAGGTAAAAGCCCACTTCTTTAAAACTGGACCATTTCAATTTAATACTTCTTTATTAATTAGTTGCCAAATATCTTTTTTCAAGTGGCACTAAAAGAAACACCTCCCCTGAATCGCACGTGCCAAACTCCCTTGCTTTCCTAGGGATTAGGATTAGGGTTTCTTTTTCCCTCATGTTAATCTAATTACCAATTTCTACACTTTTTTTTCTACAGTTTTTCTTATTTTATTTTATTTTACTTTACAACATTAGGATTCAAAATTCAAACTTTTTATATATCATTATAGTTGAGCTATAGTTAGAATGGGCTATATGAATTTTTTCAAATAAATTTTTTCTTTTAAATTAGAAAAAAAATAATATTAGCAAATAATAGATAGAAAAGTATTTATTAGCATTAAAATGTACTTATTATTTAAGATTCGCTCACAAAAGTTATGAATGTAGATATATAATTGGATTTTTTAATTAATTATAAAAATCTAGATTTAGATATTATTTTAGTCTCTATACTTTCAAATATTTATTTTTTTATCCATGTAGTTTAATTTAGTGGATTTGTTTATTTTGTAATCTCTATACATTCAAAGCTTATGTTTTGTTTCCTATTTACAAAATGTTAATAAAATTTTAAACATGATGAGAACCCTTTAATATAAATTTATTGCTGCATTTCAAAAAATTTCATGAGAGAAAAGTGTTATGATAAAAATTTGATCTAAATAAAAATGAGACAAAAAAAAAAGGAATGACCCAAAAATGGTTGTTTTTTGAAAGTACGGAGATTACAAAACGAATGTTTCGAAAGTATAGAAACTAAAACAAACAAAAAGTTAAAAGTAAATAGATCAAAACTGACCATTTTAACCATAGGAATCGAAATGAATCATAATCGAAAGTAAATGAAAATGTTATTTAAGCCAAAAATCTAAGATAACTTTTTTCTCAAATGAATATGTTACGTACGGTTCATGGAAGTTGGAAGAGGAATCAAGATTTTTGATTCGGTTGTTCCATTTGTTTATTTATGTTGGAATGCTTATTCCAGTTATTTTGAAAGAAATAAATATTCCATTGAAACGATATTATTTCCAAACATTTTTTAGGTTGAGTAAAGAATAAAAATGATTAAAATAGATTAGGTAGAATCTACCTGACAATTCAAGAAAAAAAAAATTAAATCACTCTATTTTTAGATTCTTGCAATTATTTCAGACTAATAGAAAGAATTATTATACATTATTAATTATGCTATTTTCTCCATTATTGGTTCATTAATTAATTAAGTTTCTTTTTTCTTAATTCATCAATGGAATGACGATTCGAATTATCTAATTTGGAAGATAGATTTGTAATACCTCGATGAGTTAGAGCTATGTTTAGATCGATCTAATATACCAAGATTTCAGAATATATATATAATGAGAAGTGATTTGGTTCCAATCTATTGACAAACAATAAAACTCAAAAGAATTCATACGTTTCTCGACTATTTTGATGGATATATCATATTGAAAAAAAATCCAAATTATTGGCGAGTTTGATGTTGATATGTAAATTAAGTTTTAATGATTTATATGTACTATAAATTTCTCATTATTACATCGTATTGATAAAAGGTCGAAATCCAATATGTCACACATTTGTTCATTTTTTTTCTCTAAACTTTTAAAATCATGGCGAACTTCTATTTTTTCTTTTTTTTTTAGATCTCTACAAACCAAAATAGATAAATAAACAAAAGTTAAATACAGAAACGTATGTGTTAAAAGATTTTAACATTTAAATAGATGGTTAACTTTAAAAACTTATTAGTATCAATTTAATAGATCCCGAAAATTTTAAGATGGTTTCAACCTAGCTAGCTAGTTTCCTATAATTTAAAAAGTTCCTAATAAGTTAGTACTACTAATTTAATTAGTCTAATACATTTTTTATATTGCTAAATTTCAAATTTACTCAAAATTACCTTCCATGTAATATTAAAATAATATAAAAACATGACACACAAGTATTAAGGGGATAAAATTATTAACGAGAATAAACCAAATATAGATACAGAGCCTGAAATATTCAAAAACCTAGTGAAACCTCTAAAATCATAGAGACATAATATAGCACAAATTGTAATTAAAATTTAATTATTTTAAAAACATTGATTAAACTATACAAATAATTTGAATTAATTGGAGCAGAAATCTATTTTTATATAGAAAACAAATCCAGAGTCTTTTTGCCTACGTGTACACGGCCATTAAGAATCTCGTTTACACTGGAACCGGTTCCCGGTCAAAACTCCGCGTTTCAGAAGTCCCCGTTTCTGCCAGTCCTCTGTCATTTATTGCGAACACCGATCCAGTCGCTACTTGTTCCCACGCCCATTTTCCACCGGCACCTGCCGGTCACCATCCTAGGTGGGAAAACTTACACCCCAAGCTGTTCTCCAAAATCCCAAAAATCTCTATTTCCCATTCGCACCTCCAAAAAAACAACTCTCTCTCTCCCCTCTCTCCCCTCTCTCTCTCTCTCTCTMTA